GCTGTGTAAAGCTATTTGTTTAAACTGGTGCCACTGCCAATGTCAGAAAAGTTAAATGGTGTCACAGTTTCACCTCTGTCCTGCTCTTAAGAGACCCAAAGGTGCACAGGTGAACTGGGTAACAATCCATCACTGTAYAGTTCTTTTCTCCAGTAGATATTCTCCTGCTTTGTTTTTCTAAYGTCTTCTCTCTCTTTTATTTCTCTCTCTCCCGCTCATTCCAGAAATAATGAGCTATTTTGCCCCTTCTTCTTGGCAACCACTACTTGTTTATTTAACCTAAGAAACATTTAAGCAAGGATAAGAGAAGAAAACTTCTTTATTCCAGCACCAGTGTTTGTGAAAACAGTGGAAAACAGCAACTGAACACAATGGTTGCACATTACCATTGAATTATCCATATTATTTTGATGCAGACACATAATCAGGACACCAAGTCCTGTGTTTATCTGTGATATATTTATTTAAATTAGAGTTTGATTTATATTTTAGAAAATATCTTGATATATAAACATATTTTAATGGTAAAAAAAATTAAAATATTAAACTAACTACATAGAGCTCCACAGGGAAATATTAACTGAAAATTGCAAGATGCTCTTAAAAGACTGAATGCAAACAAACTCTTGAATTTCATATGTGAATTTGATCAGTCCTTAATCTGGTTCCAGAAGCTGATCACAYACTCTCTCACCTGAAGTGATTATCCAGTTATGAGATATACATTTTAAATTTYTCAATGCTTTATGAGATCTTAAACAGAATAATGTCTTTTATTTGGAAAAATGAAGTAAGTGCTAAAGGTGCTGGTATTTTATCCATGTTGTAGGCAACTATTGAACTTCTCAGACTAAACCACTTACCTTATAAAAATATATACAAGTTTTGTATAGCTATTTTCCTTATTCATTCTTGATCAACACATAGTCTAATTGGTATRAAAAAGACAGTTTCTCCTGTTGTTTATCATTTGATCAATTCTGTATGGCCAAAATCCAGGCCCAAATATTTCAGGAGTAAAATGACCATAAATTTCAATAGAATGCCTTTGTGTGTCACCAATCAAATTACTGAAATTACTTGGGTAAGCCTATTTTTTTTTTTCTTGCATATACAATAATAGATACATAATTTTGACAGATTGCAAGAGATTCTCTTGTCCTAAAAATATTCTTCTTACTATTTCCAGCATGCATAGCTCAGCTAAGAGAGGAAAGCTGAAAGACCACCATAAGAACAGAAAGAAAGTTGAGTATCTTGATAAAATATGGTAATAAGACATATATGAAATAAGAATTTACAGTGTAGGCTCTGCACCTGTGTTCATCTAGAAAATGTTTTCTAATGATAAAGGCTTTCAGCACTCTACACCAGAGCAATTTCAGTCAGCTCAGGAAAATCTAAGCTGAGCCATGACACAAACGTGCTCATAGACTGCTGCAATGAAAACACTGGGGAAAAAAAAAATCTAGAAAACAAAATTTAGAATAATTTAATTAAATGYAATCAATGTAGCAATAACTGATTTTGATCCTGACTTGAATTAAATGATCCAAAYATAGCTTTTTCTCTGCAATAGATAACTATTTTCAACACCCCAAAAGAGTGGTTAAACTGTTTCAGAAAAACAGAATAACRGAAGGTTCAGGTTTTGTCTGCAGCAGAAGGAACTGAAAGCATTTCTGAAAACACTGTGTGACTGCCAAGGCTGAATGATTTCAGAGTCTGCAGAGGTACTTTAGAAATAATTCTCCCTTAACCTCTCTAATGTTATTTTTTACTGATTTTTTTTTTTTTTTTTAATACATGCAATTTTAATGTTCAAAAATTGCATAATGTTTTAGGATTAAACTTTAAAGGCTTGTTTTTCAATAAGTATCTTAAACTGTCACAGATTTCAGTGGGATTTAGTGGTTAATCATAATTTTAAAATATCATAGTAAAACATTCCACTCCTAATAAGATATTCAGATTTCACGACTGATGTTACTACCAGCTGATTTTCTGCCCACTGTTTATTTTCCCACATATGAAGAAACCACTGTGTGAGAGCAGAAACTTGCAAGACCATAAGAGCTCTAATTTTTTTTTTTTTTCCATTCAATGCAATTTTAGGTTTTGTGCAGTTGCATTTATGTTTTTGTGCACCATGTTTAATCTGTAAATGAAATAAACCCACCTTTTTCCCTCTAGAATGTCACACATTATTTGCTTGAACAATTTTCACACAGAGGACCACCATACCAAACTGAGTAATGTCCCAAAAATGTCATTAAACAGAACGTGTATGTTTGAGGTGATACATCACACTCTACTCTCAAAAGTGGTGACAGGAAACTCCTTTTTATAAATATACACCAATATATATTTGTCAATTAGTTGTTGCATATTTACTGCTAGGTATTGGTGAGACAATGAGGATTTTACAAGGATCTATGATTCTAGAAAAAATAAATCCTTCTAAGGTCATGGTGTCCTATATCCTGACAGGTCTTCCCAATAAATACTGGGGAAAARTAAAATCCAGGGGAGAATGATAATTCTAATTTCACACTTTGATATCAAAAGTATATTAGCTCCAACAAAGGTAAGAAATGTAAATCTGTCATTAAGGAACATAATTAAAGGTTTTCTTCAATGCAGTCTTGCTATGTTTATTCAATGAAGCGTAATGAATTGCAAGGCACACAGTAAAACTAAACCCTCACTGATTTATAAYAACAACTTTCAGTTGTTAAATAACTCTTATTGAGTACATCATAAATTATAAATAAAGATGCAGTTTTTGATTTCTTTTGTTTTAAAGAAAAAGATCAATTTTGTATTTTCATTGTATGGTTTTATTCAGTTGTTGGTTAACATAAAAAATCTCCGTGAGAGTTATTTTTGATGGTATATGCATGTGTTCAAGTGAATAGTTTGAATTTTCATTTTTCTTTTGTATTTAAGTCTTGCACAAACAATTAATGAATCCTCACAACATCCCTGTGAGGTAGGTACTTAAGCTGTTTGAGAAAAAAAAAAAAAAAAAAAAAACTTCGAGAAATTAATTGTTTCACTAATTCAGCAAACTCAAAACAGTAACAATAACAAGGCCATTGCACTTCTCACTCTGATTTGGGTCATGAAAATATACTGCCTCTCAAGTCTCAGTAACTTCTGTATAAATTCTAAAATATTTTATATCACCCTAGTAAATGTCAACAGGGCAAGATATTTTTCATGAGAAATGAGAAGGATAAAGTAATTGTCTTGTGTACACGTAAATTTCATTGAATGAAATAGAGAATTGCTAAGAGGTAGCCTTCTTGTATGAAATATTTGAAAATATTTAAAAATCTAACCTTACAAGTTTATAAATATAGTATATAAATTATATATTTTAAGAATAAAAACATGTAATGATTACATGAATTTAAAAAGTTGATGAGTATATTCCTCTGAGAAATTAAAAAAACTTGCYGATGCATCTACCTTACATATTTTAAAGAAAAATGTGCTAAAGTTTATTGATYTGCTAGTAAAATTTTATAATGGATATATTCATCCCCTGTAATGGTAGGTGGTGGGTGACATCAAAAGCACATTGACAGCAGAATGTTTTTATATAAATTGCATGCACAATCCARTTTCTTACTTGATTATGAAAGGAACAAATATATTCATTAAAAAAAAAAAGCCAACTCATTTACAGGACAAAGTGAATCTTGCTCTAGCTCCGTGTCAATATAAACAATCTGCGACTGATTACATCCATCAAGTTTAATATAAACCATAGTAATCTGAATAGCGTAATCAGATGGAACAAGATTTAATAACATACAAACCAAAGTTAATGTTTCTCTGATTGCTTCCATTAACTGCATAACTATCCAAAGTATTAGTTTTACATACACATTATGTAACTTAATATTAGAAAAGTTTCAAATACACAATATGGTACATTATATAGAGGACTATATTTATCAAAGTTTATACATATTGCTGATTTTTGGAAATTTTTTCCTCTTTTAAAACATAGTTTACCATGTATCAATTAAAAATAACACTTCACATATTTAAATTTTCATTATCCTATCTGTATGTTCCCTCTGCAATCTAGGTGCATTTCAGAATAAATAAATACAATTAAATTTTGATGAAACACCACTTTACCACCAACTTGAAGATTACAGAGAGCACATAAAGCAACAGCTTCTTTGAAAGCAAATCTTATCTTCCTTCATATAAAATCAAAATCYCAGAAGACAATGAGCAGAGTAATAAGAAGTGCATAAGCAACCTCTGGTAAACTTCTAAATGGGTAAACAATACATATTTTTTTCATAAATCTGGAATAGTAAAAGTTTATTTCCCTTTTATTTACCCAGTTMTTGCAGCATGTATAAACCAGTAAAAATAATTATATTTTTATACAACTAAACAACTCAAATCAGAAGACATTAAGATGGTTCAGAAAATTGTATTTTCATCCTGTCGAATTTAAAGTTACATTTTCTTACAAAAAACTTCTTTGAGAATTCAAGCATTTGAAGAAGAGGACACGTATATATAGCGTCAAAAGTTTTTTTCAAATCACTTCCTAAAGTGAATATAACATGTTATGGACAAATAAAAAAAACAATTAAAATTGGCATGGGATGGGTAGTTTGGAAAAGACAACTTTTGTGTTTTACATGTTCAATGAACAAAACAGATGCATGGCAAACTAACGTTTTAAAACTGATAAATGTTATGGAAAAATAATGAGGCAACAGAAATAAACACAAATTTTTCATTGCTGAGTTTTTTGCAATTKACTGATTTAACTTAAGGGCAATTGTAAGACCACAGCAGATCACTATTGTATTAGAATATGTAAAGCTTTCCCCACTTGCAGACAATAGGGCTTTTCTTATCAATAACTGAAGAGTTGACACTGACCCTGAGGCTCTCATTGTTAGTAGGATGCTGTTAGTAGTAGCAGTTGCAAACGTATGGGTTTGCCAGTAACAACTCACAATTTGTGCATAGTTGAGTCTTCGAAACTGAGCAAATTTGCTCTCAAAATCTTGCCAGCGCTTGCTGAGCTGTATCAGGGTTGGCTCCACTGCTTTTGCAGCCCCATCCTTAGACAAGCGTTCAGCCTGCCTGTGCACCGCATTCAGATCTTCCTTCTTCTTCTCCAACTCTCCACCAATCTCCTAGTGAGCAAAACCAATACAGGGCCCAGGACAGTTAGCTAACTAGATCAATCAACTTCAAATTAGCAAAATACTTCTGTCAGAAAATCCATTTCCATTTTATTGTCACAATTAAAATTTACAGCTACTTCATAKCTTATTTTACATTTAAACGAAACAAAAATAACTGAAATTGAAGAACCTTCTTGGAGATGGGCTGTAGAGATCCTAAGGGCTACTACATTCTGAAACCATTAGCAAAGGCCAACAGTTTCCAYGTTCAGATTCTTGCCAGTACACTGTGATGGGCAATTGGAGAGGTTATTTCCTCAATAAGGGTCAGCATATTCAGGACAAATAGTGTTCGAACAACTAATAAATATATTATCCGACTCTTCAATGAATTAATTAACTCCTACTTTACTCTGTGGGAAACTCAACAGAGAATGAAGCAAAGAAAGACGATGYAAAATAAACCAGGAAAACCTTTGACAGTATGTAAATAAATCTATAGAGTTTGACAGTGACATATGAATATGYTCTGATGAAAATGAATGTGCTAACATGAGATAGAGGTCATCCATATATCGGTAAGTCATTTGTTCATCTGGAACAAAGATACATAAAATCAATTACAATTTTTACTAGAAAACATTTGATGCTTCTTAATACATTCCACACTTTCTGTACTATTGACAAAACATWATATTTAGTGTGTTTCAAATTATTTATATAACATTCTGTATAAGAAACAAATACAAAATATAGTACAACAAAAAAATGCCAGTTTGAACACAGATAATTAGTGTTTGTTTTACTAAAAATAGAAATAAAGAACAGAACTTATRATTTTCTATATCTACAAATAGGATTGTTTGTTGCATTTTCTTTCTGTTGAATTGATAAACTATCACTCTAAACGTTCTACCATTGCCAACCCAAAACAACATTACCTTTAGCTTCTGCTCATCTTTGTGGTCTGGCAGACCCGCTAACTTTTTCTCAATGTCATCCAGCCATGTCATTAGGTCATCAGCCTGCCTCTTGTACTGATACCATTGATGAGAAATCTCTAAAGCCTTTTTTCTTCTTTGAGCTCTCAAGTCCTGTTCACAGTGCAGACATTATTAGGATATGAATTAAAGGCTTATAAAACATGAATCGGCATGTGTGCACACTGAAGGGAAAGAAGTATACAAGATTGCTATTTTTTAAAATTAAATGTTGATATTTAAAGCAAGTATAGGAATAATTGAACATATTTACATCAGTTTAACAATACTTTTTGTTTGTTTTAAAGAAGGTTACCTATTTCAGTGTTGTTCACATGTTGAATAAATCACAGTTACCAATATTCAGAGAACCTAAGACTCTTACATAAATGTCAATATTTTATATAAAACACTTCTGCTCAGAATACTTACTGGACAGATGGAAACACAGCCCACTTAGTATCTAGCCAAAAGTGGGGCTTCTGTATTTTGTGGACTCCTGTGAATTTCTAGCCTGCATGAAAACTCTGCAGCTACTCAAATGAAAATCACTGCAATGCAGAAATGTTTGCAAAGACAGGTTTCCTTTTTCCAATTTAAATACCACATACATAAAAAATGTCTTGATGTGTTTATAACTCTGCTTTATAAAGTATTAAAACCTCTCTTTAGAAGGAAGGCATAAAATGGTTGGTTTTTTTCCCCTACAAACGTTATTAAATATACATTTGCTTTAATTGCTTAAMTTCACTCACACAGAATTCAGAAAAATATTTTAATTACGATAATTTCTTTTTAGGAAGTAAATAAAAAATTTCTGATATATTTTATATAAAAATACTCAGATTAATTTGCCTCAACCATTCTTGATTTTTTTTTTTTTTTTTTTTCACCAGGGTGAATGTTTTAACTGAGCCGCCCAAAGGAAAATCTATCACTACACCATAAAAACAGCCAGGGAGGATCTGGTCAATAGCATAGTGCTATAAACACTGTTCTTGTTTCTCCAACATAAAAATTATGAATTGCTTCMATTTAGCTTGGAACAGTCAAAGACACACCTAATAGATTTCAAGCTTCTTTTAAACGTGGACAAAACAACTGTATATTCCAGATATCCTTCTCCTGATTTCACATAGATCTGCCAAACTGTAAGAATTGGAATGAAATCCATAGGAAAAGAAAGAGGCTGCATAAAAATAGGTAGTAACACAATGTAAGCACGCCATATTACCAAACCAAAGATAACTTAATCAAACTTATTGAAAGAAAGAAAATCTCTGCTTGCTGAGGAGATAAAAATTCTTCTATAGTAGCCAGAGTCTATTGCTCCAGATAGGTGATCAAGGTGACACTCCAACTGTAAGATTCTATCTTTCCTAATTTTTGTTTTTCCATTAAAAGATGATACTTTCAATTATACCTATTAGTTGGACCAACTAAATCTCACCATGTGTATTTCTAGGAACAGTATCACACAGTTTTACCTCGTGGATTCTGGCAAGTCAGAATTTTCATATGCAGTTTTGGGTTTTAGATTTCCAGGTGCTATGGGTATTGGTGCTACCACCTACCCTATCCTAGAGAGGCTGRAGCCACTCTTGTAACTGAAGAATTATTTTTATTAATTATTTAAAGAATCATTTAAAGTGTATTTTTTTTCTGAAGGAGGAACCAATTTATTCATGGTCATTAGTGTGTTACTCAACTGAGAATATAAGTTTGCAGGATCTGATTCTAACTAAGGTCTGGACTGCTGTTGGAGAAATACAAAATTCACATAATATGTTAAAAAAGAAATTATCAAATAAATCACTGTTGTCCAAATGGCACTCACACAGTGAGGATAAAGCAGCACTTCATAAGCTGGAAATTGTAAAATGCCTTTTGCAAGAAAATCGAGAGAACTGCATGAGAAAATATGTCTATAGTCAAATAGTTTTAAATTACTCATCTCTAAATAGCAATGATGACTCATTTAAAAAAACATTGCTCTGAAATAAAGGAAAAAAAAATGGTTTCAATAGGATGTGCTTATAATTGTAGCTCCTATACCTTGAGGGCATTATGTTTACTCCTCAACAGCTGTTGTTTTGTCTTTATTTCTTCACGTTTTTTCTCATCTGTGACTCCCTTTTGAAGTCTGTCACCCCTCTGCAGCAATTCTTTCACTGTGCTCTCATCCTCTTCACTCTGATTAAAAAAAAAAACAAAAAAACAAAAACAAAACAATATAATGTGCCTTTAAATCTAATTCTTTCTTAAGTACTAGTAGACACAGACTTTGCTAAAGTAATCATGCAACAGCTACTTCCAGTTCTATACTGAAGATTGAATAATTTTACTCATTTTCTACAATATATGTAGAGGGACAAAAATAACTCAGCATCCTAAAATCTACCGATGTTTGATGTTAGATTTCATGCAACATCCAGGATAACAGCACAAAAACATTAGAAACATGTTTTACTTTCAAACAAAAAGAATAGCTATATCTAAAATATTCTAAATCACTTTCAGTAGTAATTGCAATTTTCAGTATGCTCGGAGACCATGCAATTCCTGACAATTCTGTGYATCATCACATTGCAAACCAGTTATTCTGACAGGGAAAATGATGTCACTAAGAACTTTCTACTTAGAAGCCACCTATGAATCTATGAATCTATCAAGGTGAATTTATATCACGGCTTCTGGGAATGTCTTGAACCACACTAGGCATTTGATGTAAAGAAAGGGAACCAAATATGCTCAAGTAGTGGAAACTGTCCCATCAAACTTGATTCACTTAGAATTTACCACAGCAGCACATAGAGCCTTAAATTTTATTTTTCCTGCATAAAAGAAAAAAGGTACTGTAAAGATTCCTTCAAGCATTGATATAAAACAGACACATTTGAAGAATTCTTTGAAAGTAAAATAATATTGAGTCTTTATATSGTTTGTAAATAAATATGTATTTGATCTTGCTAAGGACTCAGGAAGAGAGGGTTCTAAAGATGAATCTCTGTTATTGCCCAGCCAAGAAATTTCATCCCTCTGAAAATCACTCTGGAGAAAACACATCACAATTTCAGTAGTAGCAMAGCACTGCAGTATTTTATTCCTCTTTTTCCTTTTCCTCCCCCACCTAATAGGAATAAATGGTCTTACTGCTTGCAACGATAAAACATAAGTAATAAAGCTTATCCCAGCCACAAAACCTATTTACATTAAATGCTATAAGCAGATTGGCTAAGAACAAATTGGCAAGTGGTATTTCTTTTCATGAACATTTCTTTTCAGTGAATATATTCTTTCACTATATTGCCCATTTCAATACATCATTCTGACTTTCCCTGGTCTTCATACTGCTACAGAGATTTTCATATTCATTCCCTATTCTGAAATAATACAGGTACTGGTACAGAACTCATTGATAACACTCCTGGTCTGCTTGGTGTTTTCATAAGGGACAAGAAATTATTTTCTMATAAACTAAAAATTAAGTTAGCATRAAAAAGAATCAGTTAATGCGAATTTGGGATTTTTGAATTTATAATATATTASCATAGAAAAATTGTGCCCAAGTAATATATAAAAAAATCCTAACACAAATATGGGTTTCTGATTTTCACTCMGGTTTTTTTCATCCCCCTGCTTATTTTGCTCAGACTTCCATTTCAAACAAATTACCATATCTTTATTGAAGTCCTCTTCTTTCAGATTCACTCCCTGCTGAATTTCAACCTCCAGTGGTTCAAGCATTTTTTGTATATCGAAGTCAAATTGCTCCAATTCCTTCAAAGGAATGAAGGGCTAAAATGGGAGAAATACAAAGATTATTTATTTAAAGGACATATTTAATAGTTTTATTAGAAAGAGAAATGAAAAGAGATATCTGTGGTACCCCCTGTTGCTAAAACAATGGTAGAGTTTCCATCATGTTGAAAAAATCTAAACCATACTGAAAGTACCCAAAGATCCAAATAAAGATACAAATTTATGTAGAACTTCCATGTAAGTAAATAAAAGAATTTACTGTGAGTGAAAATTTAAACGGAAAAAAATCAAATATAATCTCACATTTGTGTGTAAGAACAAGTGCAAAAAATAGTAAAAATATAAGAATTTGTCTAAAAGAATGTTTATCCTATTTGGTTAAGTCTAGTTTGYCAGAAATTATTTGTACAGCAACTAGCAGTCCATTCAGATGAAAAAAAAACCTCTAGTATTAATAATTGAGAACACTTTAATGTTAATCTGGTTCAGTTTTGAAATCATTCTTCTCTTACACATAATATAAGTGTCAGGTGAATTATACAAAACAAAGGACAGAAAATCTTTGTATAAAATATTCCCCTAATAGTATTTTGTAACATGTTGGGAAAAAAGTCAACAAACCTTCAACTTTTGTTTCAAAAAAACCTCAACAAAAATTCAGGACCAAAGAAAGTTAACCCAAACAAAATAGATAGACTCAATTCCTCCAAAACAAATCACAGTGTAATTATGGCACTTTAGTTTAATATTCAGTTTTGAACTCTCCATCAAGTTCGACTTATTAACAACAATGCACCGCCTTTGTCGATCTGACAYAAGTGCCTGTAAATAGTTTAATAGAAAATATACAAYATAGTATTAAATGTATTGCAAATTATMAACAGAAAATCTTTTTCTTTCAAAGCTTTAAATGCAAGAGCAAGAAAAAAATCTCAGTGATTCTTGCCTAAAATTTAGACTTAAAGGTAATTAATGTTTTTTTGATGTTCTAGGAACTCTTGGACACACACCTGTCTTCTTTCTAATGACATAAGCACATTTGATCCTAACTAGTTCTCTTTTACTCTTTCCTCTGGCACAATTAATTATTATTATATGCAAACTTTGTAATGAAGATGTTAATAATAAAAATTAATTGGTTAAAATGAGAGACTGGACATCAAAAGGAATCTGTTCTCAGATGACCTGGAAGAATCAGGGTAAAAAGCCTTAATTGCATCTGGTTGATTATTTTAGCAACAAAGATTTTGCACACTTACAAACATTAATGGAAATATAACAATGTACAATATTTATAGAGAATATTACTGTGCTCACAAATTTTCATTAAGAGGCTCAGAATTACACTCATCAAGCACTTCAACTGAGTTAGAAATAATAGAAAACTACACAGTAATTTCTGCTCAAATGCTCTAAAGGATATTTTCTAAAGTRCTTAAATCTCATTAAAAGAGAAACCAACTAATAAAACTGGAATATAAAATTTATAGTCTCTGAAAAAGGCTAAAAACAATAACAAGAGGAAAGTGGATGGAAAAATACTAAATGAATTTCAGTAATTGAATGATGTTCAAAGACTACTTGAAAAGGTTAAGTCCCATTTCAGTACACTATGAACATTTTGTTAATTCAGGAGATGACAATTCTATACCTCCATTCACTGACTTAATGGGTTATTTCTTATTTACTTCACTGTTGCTGACTGACTGTTGCTGACTGACAAATACTGACTATTGCTAGTATTTGTAAAAATATAGCTAATTTGAAGACAGATGAGAAATTATTGAAAATAGGTTATGAGAGCTTTCAACCCTCTTGAATTAATGTTTTAATCTTTCACAGAATGAATAATTTTCTAAACATGTGGGAAAAAAAAGCAAAAACACTTAAGAAGCATATCACCCCATAATAATAATAATAATARTTTTCCAGCTYATGAAGCTGAAATCATAAAGAACCTCCAATTACCTTTATTATACAGGTAGACAGAGCACACAGAAATTTGGCCCTTTATCCAAATGCATATAGCAAGTCAGTAGAATAGTCAATAATTCAACCTATCTCACTGATGAGATATTTTTTATTGTAAGCATACTTTGTGTATTGTACCATATTCTACCTGTGCTTTTTCATGGAAAAGGTCCTGGAAATGGTCCCTTAAATTCTAATTTGCCATTATAATTTATGTGCTGTGGTAATTCCTCTCATCTTGCTGGGCATTTCCTCGATAAATCTTAATGTGGTGCTGCCAATTCCAGCCCACCTTACCTTCAGAAATGGAAGAAAACCTGAGAGAGAAAGCCTCAGGTGGAAGACATTTGAAGGCTGTGTTCTGAAGACACTTTATCTTGAAAAGGATCTTTTGTCCCTTTGAGCGAGCTCACAACACACAGTGCAAACACTGAGCCCCCAAGAAACCATCTACAGGCAGTCCCATTTTGACCTGAGACTAGCAATGATTTCACAGGATYCTACCAAAATCTGCCTCAGCTCTGCACATTTACAACAACTGAGATGGAAATCCAGACTGCAGACAGGAGGAGTTCAGAGCAAAGTCATCAGACAACATGGCTGTTTGGGCTTCTTGCAAAGATGCCTTCAGTCTACAGTTTCTACATGTGTAAGAAGTGGGTGAGAAGCTGGAATGAATGGCTGAAATACTACTGATGGTCACTGGGAAAAAAATGTTACCTTTATTCAGGGGACATCATTTTGTCATTTCAGAAATGAAACCTGAATAAACCCAAATATCCACAAAGATGTGCCAGTTAGGCAGTATGCTGAGCCCTGCACAGACCCCAAAGGAGCTTTTGGAAGCCATGTCTTTTTCTATGCATTTTGCAAAGCTTATTTCCTGCTTTGCCATGGATCCTCTGTGCATTTATTTCCAGTGCTATTACAGTGACCAGCCATAACAGTTTAGATCAGGATCCATGWATTCCATTTATCCTATGTACCAACCTGCCTGGATGTCTGATTTCATCTGCTGAATAAAGGCAGCAAATACAAGRAAGAAACTAGGTGACTTATGGTCTTCTTCATTCAAGTTCAGAAGTCACAACTTGGTTAAAAATTACCTAATCCATGCTGAATTAAGATTTAACAGTCAAACTGGTTGTACAGACAAGTAGTTGAAGTAGAATAGAAATCATCTCTATCTATTTCTATCTCAAGCCTTGATGAATCCCAGACTCATAGGAAAAAACTGAATGTATGTAAAGAAAAATTAGTTCTCAAGACCTAATCTAGATGAGAAAAGGCTACTCATACTTTTGAGAAATCAGAGACTTACTAATTCTCAGTTCATTTTTTTGTAAATTAATGAAGTTTGGATTGTCACATTCAAATAAAGTCAGTGAAGGCTTCTAATTGTGAAACAGTGAAAAAAAAAAATGTCAAAACCCCCAAAACTTCACACTTTAAAAAAAAAAAAAAAAAAAAAAAAAAAGAAGAAAAAATTCTTAGGCTCTACTCTCCATTGTTATTCTTTAAAAGCTTAATTTTTGGAGGAACTGTAGCCCACTATGTAGTTGCAATTGTGCACCCTATACAAACACCATTTTTTACACATCTCCTTACGAAAGCAAGTCCTCCTACCTTCACACTCTTAATTCTTTGCGACAGAGTTGCAAATCGCTGGTTGAGCTCTGAAAGTTTAGGCTCTACCACTTTCCTGCAGTGATCCCCACGGTTTGTCATCAAATCCCTGGCCTGGTCACGCACAGAGTCCACCTTGGGGTGAATGTCATTCAGCTCAGCCTTTAAGCGCTACAGTCCGTGAGCAAGAGACAGGGCTTGAAGTTAGTAATAAATGCAAAGAGAGAGAAAGAGAGAGAGAGAGAAAGTGTGCAAAGGAATAGGGAGCAAAACCACAAAGCAAATTCAGATAATTACRCGTGAGTGTGTAAATCCAGTAGAAATACCTTAGATAACATTGCCACTCGTATCCCTCAAATTTATAGCAGGAACGTATCAATGTGTCTGTTTTAATAACTCCAAGAGGAAATTAATGGTGATAATTATTTCTAGGCAGATTCTTATCTGCAATAATACTGCAGCATATTTCAGGATACACCACTAAATTATTTTATGTTCCTAAAGCTAGGAAGAGCTGCTAATTATTATAGAACTGGATGTATAGTGGTTGCTTTCATTAATGCTTATGGCCATAGTTCAGGCAAGTAAAAATTGCCTGATTTAACAAAAAAAAAAATAGGTGCTAATTTTTTGTATAAACCTATCACATTTTTTTAAAGGCAAAAGCCTTTATCCTTTGCAATATTAATCTTAACAGTAGACCCCAGTATGGGCAGAGGCCAAAAAAAAAGATAGCAAGGTATTTGGGAATCAGAAACRCAGCTGGGTGTTAAGAATTACATTTCACTGTCTGCATGAAATGYTTCTGTGCAATGCAAACATATATACAGGTATTGATAATTTTACTTTGTGTCTGATGGTGGCAAAACTGCCCATTCATCTACAAAAGCCAGTCTTATAATCCTGCTGAGATCAATGAGGCATCGATTTATGSTCTGCCTTGGAATTTGTAAAATTTTGCTGTAGTAAACGGCATCATTATGTTAGTATCAGCAACACAATTCTGATTTTGATTTGCAAACTGTTCCTCAGATAGTATGTACTGACATTGAACATGGAGTTCAATACAAAGCAAAATTTCACTCTGACTTCAGAAGAAAAAGAAAAATCCCTAGATTTATTAATTTGTTGTTGTTCTTAAAAAAAAGGTCTTTTAAATGAGATAGTTTAACATTCCCATCCATATTACAAGCTAAATTTTCATCAGTTGCTCAAATGGTGCAGTTGGCCAATTAAAACCTGCTCAAGACACCAACCCATGATTCCACAGCTAGTTCACCACACAATATTCTTGTCTGTGTTGTTGATCTACCCTCAATGTAAACAGTGTTTATAGAATTAAGACAATCATATAACAGAAATATAACAGATATTGGAAAAGTATCACAGAAAAACAGAAATAYGTTTAAAAATGAAGGGGATGGGGAAAAAAAAAGAAGGGATTTTGTTCAAATGAAACAAAAGAAAACCTTGTGTTAGAAGAGTATTTTCCAGCAGACATATGTTTAATAAGCTGCTGTTCTACTCACCAGGAAGTTCCCAAGACTTATAATAACAATCTGTTTTTATTTCTGCAGGGATTTAATTTTGGTAATACAGAGCCAATTTATTAAGTAATCTACAAGCTGCCAGAGGGCAGCTTTATCACAGAAAAGAGAMTTTTAATCAATTTGTGGTACCTTTTGAAATATGCTAGTTTTAACACAGTCCTTTTTAGAATAAAATTAATGCTTTCCAGAAAATCACATTTTTTACCTTAAGAATTTCCTCTCTTTGCTGGGGTTTTTGTTTGTCAGATTCATCCAACAGTATTTCAGCACGATACATCCAAGTAGTGACATTAGCTATATTCTGATCAAAAGCCTCCATGTGCTTTTGATATTCCTGTATGTGGAAAAGGTAAATACTGCGTACAAAAAATGTAATCAGAACTGAAATAACAGCTGTAATCATGCCAACTGTGGCAAACATGCACACATTCTGACATTATGAAAACTTGTTTATTTTGCACAGCAACTTCTTGCTTTGTGAAGAGCAGAATCTGYTGTTTGTTTGCTTCACTTTACATGTTATGTTTCTTAAAAAAGACATTCTAGGAGAGAGAGAGAGGTTTTTGAAGTGACAGGCAGAAGGATGACAAAGTCACAGCAAGACTCAGGTGCTGGCAGCTCAGCGAGGCTGCTGAGAGGAACAGGAAGCTCTTAGCCAGACCTACTGGAGGTGCAAAGAAGTGTTTCCCAAAAACGAGGTACAGAACTCATTTTGGAAAGCCAGTAATTCGACTGAAACTCAGATGGCAACAAGGGTGCACTCACAGAATCATAACCAAGAGTGGGAGCTTTGTATCTAAACCTCATTGTAACATTTCATCTAACTTCTCTGCTTCGAGACTGCACTTTTTAAAAGCTATTCCAGTTGATATTTTGATAAATCTGAATTTCTATGCTTCATTTAAAAACTCTGTCTTTTCTGGTGAGCTCACTAGAATGTGGCCCTTGCATATCCCACACAATACATATGGAAACCACACACCCAAGGTCAAAGGTATTACTAGTCCTTTTKGCCCCCAAATGTTTGCACCTTTATTTTACACTGCTCTAAAATTGGTAAAAAAMCTCAATTACCTCTCTTAGACCTTTTTATCATATGCTCTTGCAAATATTAACCATAAAATCCAAAGCAGAGAAAGAGAGGAATACATAACTATATCAATCTGTAAACTGCATTATGCGCTTCTTATAATCAGTCCTACATTGAATCTGAGCACCTACATAATTCTGAATGAAATGCTCATGTTTTCCAGATTCTTTCACTTGGATACTGCTCTCAGCTGATGAAGCCCTGTAGTGGTGCTGTACATTTATTGCCACAGCATTTGTAATGCAGCCATACAGATTCTAGTGGARCTCTAACACGTCAAGTCCTGAGAAAGTCAGCCCAACATACCCTTTAAAACCACTTCAGTTTCCCTGGGGTGAAACTGCATTCCCATGCTCTCTGGAACAGAYATAGCATGCAAGATTTCCCAAAGCATTCTGACAGCCCAGTGGTTAACACCCTTCTGTAGGTATGGGCTCAAGCTGTCACCTTTTCGTGGCAGAATTAATTTTAAGGCAAAGTTATGTGRCTATCAGTAGTTTGAGGCAGCTGAGGCTGAGACTCCTGAATCTGCATTAAATGTGTATTAGGGGATTTACTTTCTACTGGGCTTAATCTTGTCCCCTTGARGAATTATCCCCACCTAAAAAACTACCCTGTAAAACTACCCAAAGGAGAATAATGTAGTTCTGAAAGACCAAATCATATTCCTTCACCACATCAGGTGTGAACCCTGAGCAGAGCTTATGATTTAGGYGCCTCTGAAATGAATAATTCACACACACCAGAACTACCCWGTGGGCCAAACCAATTTGCAAGTRGAAACTTATTTCCCAATTGTATTATTGCAAACAGAAATGAAATGCAGCCAAAAGTAGCTGAAGTTGTTGGTATAAATACTAAAACCTACTCAGCTTATTTAACTGGTTTTCTTTTTCTTGAGTCATGTTGAAGTAGTCTTTGTCCTCAAAACTGCATTTTGTTTATTAGGGGAGAAACCCAAAGCAAARCCAGTGCAAGAACTACTGAGACAGACAGGATTGCAAATTGCTAACAATMAAGATTCCACTCGGTAATCAATCAGATTCTCAAAAAATACCCAATGTACTAAACACAATCAATGTGATTGTCTGTGGGCATTCAATAAGTACAGTCCAAGACACAAGAAAAAGCACTTCTATAAGTCTGGGCATGTACACCTGAAAACAACATTTCCTCTGTGTGAAGAAATKCATTTTCCTTACCAGTAGCAGATTGAACCATTCCTCAGCACGAGAAGTTACCGCTTTCCAGTTRCTGTTCAGCAGGCTGAGCTTATCGTCCACGAGACTTTCCTTTCCTTTCATCACYGTCTTCAAGTTCTCTCCTAAATCACTGATGCTCTTAAGCTGGCCCTGGCGTTTCTCAATCTCCTTCCGTGTTGCCTACGTGARCAGAATAAGAAATAAAATTTCTGGAAATTAAAAGTTATCCACACTAAGTAAATGAAATATTAAAACAGGCAGGAAGTTTATGCTGGAGCATATGGACTTGCTTTGTAAAGGAAAGGAAAGCATTCTGTGAAGAGCAGCAAGTACAAGGCAAACTGTTTCTCTTGAGCTCTGATAAAATTGCACATATTCATCTTCTCACAATAGCTTAATTTTAAAAAGTATGCACTATCTTTCATTTCAATGTTCAAAATATAGTTTTAACACTTAATTATTAAAAATGAATCCGCATTCTATAATGTTGATACAGCTATGTTTACTTTTCATATAATAAAATTAGATCATTATCAAATAGCATGTAAAGCATAGATAATAAATGGGACAATAATACAGCATCATGATGACATCTTAAGACAGAAGACTCCACTGAAAATAGTCTAGTGAATATTTTATTACTTTAATATTTTTCAGTGCAATCTTTTTCAGAAGAAATCATGTTCTTTTATTTCATTAAACTTATTTCCTAATTGTAGAAATGCATATTTTCATGAAATTCACTTGGGATTTCATTCTGGAAACAAAAATACTAAAATAAGTGATTGTCCTTAGCATTTCTAAATTTGAATTACTTAAACATATATTCAGTGATATAAAATCTGATTTCYAGCATCTCTTCCTACTATTATCTTACCTTATAGAGATAAATTATATCTAAGATTACATAATATACTCATTATTAATGTTTTAATATTTGCTACAATGTGCAGGAWGTCTAACAAAAGGAGCAAATCCCAACATATTTAGACAACATGTAAAAAAGCAGGTATTTAAATTAAAAACCACTGAGATGACACAGTGCAAAGTATAGCAGTCCTGCTGAATAYTCGAGGAGAGGCACAAACTCCTTATACCTAATTTCACATGTAACCAGTTTTAAATGAGAGAAATTTATCTGAGATCCTTGCCATTGATAGCAATAATCCAGGCATATAAATCTCTGCTTATAAAATAAAGCTCCAAGCAGAAACCAAGTGTTCCAAGCTGAACACAAACARAACTTAGGGGAAAATGAAGAAGTAGGAGTCTTCAGAGACTTCACTTTTCTCACAGAAACTTGAAAACAGTGAAATAAAAAATGTTTCTGAACGAATTCTTCCATCAATCCTTCCATCTCAGGATGAATGCTGTTATGCACTASAACCCCAYCTTTATCACCTCCACGTTATCACAYCTCTCATGGTCACACATCAGTATAATTTTGTTGATAATGTATTGACATTGGAGGTAGCATGTCTATTTTTCAACAAGGATACTATAAAATTGTTCTTTTTGGTAAAATACAATCTTAATAGTGCCTTCAACTTTGGTGCGTCAGGCTTAAAGCAGCAGCTCACTTCCTATCCTTAACAGAATTCATGATCTCATTTTGCAATGTTATTTCACAGAAAAGATCTTACACTTACATTTCCTGTAAGTATGAGAAACTTTCCACATTCTATCAATTTTTCTAAAATAYAGAGGAAATGTAATAAAGCCAAGGCATGATTGATGCAAATTATTAACAATATACTATATAGTTATAGAATTTGAAAAGGAAAGTTTCAGATTTCAGCAGGTCCTTGTCAGATTAAAGGAGAAACATGTGCTCTTCTAGTACTGCTTTATCTGTTTCACAGCAGGTGCAAAGTGCCAGCATGAAAAAAGAATAACACAAARGATATAATTTACCTTCAAGTCAGGGATGGAAAATTTTGATCAGCTTTATTACTTTTTCTAAACAATTTACTTTCATTTGGAAAAGACTCTCTGAAGTGTATTTACCGTGGACTGTGGTTTCTTTTGTATTTATGAAAATGCAGATAATCTTGGGCTATATAAATAAATATTAATCCCAACTAGTAAACAGATGGATCAAATAATTAAATGTCTATTAAATAAAACTGCTACCCMAAAACCAGATGTGTAATTCCCTCTGTGCAAGAAAGGAGTTATTMCTTTCAAAGTAAAGAAATAATGTAAACTAAAGACTAGGTGCTCCTCTGGGTAATATGAATTTTAACACCCCTGTGTAATTATAAGTAAGGGACGTGAGCCAGGTAAATCACATTTCCCCTCTCCCTCTTAAAAAAAAAAGCATTGTGGCCTCCAACACAACATTGAAGTGACAAAAGCATCTTCCTCAATACTTCAAATSTCAGTTATTCAAAGTTCTCATGTATAAAATACTGGACCCACTGAATACAATTGAAAAACTTGCAGGGTGTGTAAAGTCAGTGGGGCTTCTGCTGCATTATCAGTTACAACTCCCACTGTAG